AGTAAAAATAAGAGATAAGATACATGTGATAAGTTAAATAATAATATAAATGATGAAATAAAATGAAAAGATAAGATTAATATTCTAAAAAGAAAAAGATAATAATAAAAATAAATGAAATTTATTGCTGAACTATTTCTGAATTATTGTTGAATCATTTGTGAACTGTTGTTAATTTTGGGATTAATCATTTATTAATAATCTTAAAGTATTATTGAATCATGATTGAATCCATAACTGATACACCAATTATATTATTCTAAATCACATGTCTTCTAAAGATCAATTGATTGGTCAAATTTTCCAAGTTCAAAAAATTATGAAATTAAAGAAATTTATGTTACTACGGTAACACTAGTTCCATCAAATCGAATTCGAACTAGAATTAAATCTAGTACGGGTCTAGTTTGAGATCAACCAAACTCGAACCGAATCGGACTATTTTCGCAATGATGAAAACGGTATTAGCAATCCGAATCTAGTCGAAAATTTTGAATTCAATCCTATCCAAAATTTTAAATTATGAAAACCGATTACAAATTGCATTATCGTGTATTAAGATCAACAAATTCAAGAAAAGTCTGCATATAGCTGCGGCAAACTATCTTATACTATAAATTATCAATATGAATAATTACATGATTAAAAATTATTATTTTACATAGCTAAATTATGGAAATGTTTGTTTGTTTATATATTTCTATTCTCCGTCGCGGAGAATCAAAGGTATAGTCTATTGTTTTGTGGTAATTGCGGTAGTGGCCGCGAATGCATTGAATTTCGTACAAAGTGCCGCGAATCATATTCATTATAATTATTGTTATAATTATAATTCTGCGAAGGAATCACGGGTGGCGAATATAGATCAAGAACAGCTAAAGCATTCATTAAAAGCATTTTGATAAGTTAAAATTATTTGATTAAAATCAATTCAAATTGCAGTTTTTATCGCGGAACATACTTCGTATACATATGGGTCCTCCCCCATATATTCGGTGAAAATAATTCCAAACACGTTCGTTGACTCCTCTGTAGTCGACACCTTTTGATAGAATAATCGATAAGCATAAATGAAAATAATCGAGGTGATGCCAAAACCATTAATATACCTCGTTTCATTCCGCGTTTTGGATAAAGGCCGTTTTCACTCACAAAAGCTGTATTATCAATAACAGGAGGTGGAGGGCCTATTCGATTATGATGAGCAAAAACGTAAATAAGTCTTGTAAACAATGCAATGATAAATATAAATACTCACCACCCATCTTGAATATCTCCCACCTCTGTATCCAAGACGAACTTATGAGATACCAATATTCACCAGACTTTATTGAGGTAGTATCAATCGCAGCAATGTCTTGTTTCTCTCTTAACCTTCGTTCAGCGAGAATTTGCTCCTCTCGCTATTCAAAAAGACAAAAATTTTCAATTATGCTTTATCCCTCAATCAAATACACGTATAAAGTTTATTACCTCGCAATATCTACACATCATTATTCCAGAAGGGGACTCGGCCAAAGGTGCACCTCCATCACTACCATATTTATCTATGAAAGCGGAATATACACTTAAAGGAACACGTACAACCATATTGATCACATCAGGATTTTGCCTCAAGTTAACTCCTAGATAAAATAAACATTAGAGATAAGAACATATTCATAACCAGATTAAAATAAAAATAATTACCTTCATGAGGGCATACAAAATCGAAATTAGAAACAGGACCAGGCTATAGAATTAAATAAAATACATTAGGCGTCAATTGTAATAAATTAAAAAATTAAAATCTGTACGTACGTTACTCATAAATTGCCATCTGTTAAACCATAATCTAGAGATATAATATATTGGTTCAAGCTCGAACTTTCGTGATCAAAAGAGTATGTTAATGATAACAATTTGATTGTTGGAAAATACGTTTTCATCCTTACATTTGCATTAATTTGAGCTTTAATTTTTTGTCTTTCTTCATCTTTCTCTGTGCTCTTTTTTCGATAAAACAGAATATACGCTTCTGTTCGCGAAATTTCCAGGGGGGTTTTTTTGGTTACATACTTTTAATTTATATCCAAAAAAGAATAAACGTCAATAGAATGAAACTAATGGTATTTTAATATATCGATCATTGTATCTGCTGAGAACTTACCGTATCATCAAATTCATACCAATTATTGTCGATTGGATTCTTTGCATATGCAATATAATGCCCACCTATTATATAATAATGACATATGAACCATATAGTTTAATCCTTGCAAAGTTCTCTACGAAAAAAACATACCTCCTAACCCCCCTCTATGATGCACTAAAGCATATAGATCATATTTGGTGACTTCCATGGAGTCATCGTTTTGACTTTCGTGCATATCAGCATTTGCGTTTTTATCTTTACAATAAGGTCGCATTTCCAAATCTTCCATTGGGAATTGGACATGTGTTGTGATCTTCGATGAAAAATAATCACGGCGGAAGCGCTTCAGTTGTATGCAAAGTGACTTTGCAATTTGAAACGTGTGTTAGACAAACGAAATCAAATAATAAATCTTTTTGATTGAGATTAAGACTAATTCCAACCTCTGGTAACCGTTTTATTCTTAGCGTCTTTTGACAATCATTTAATTTTTTGCATCGCTCGCATTCATAGCGGTTTGAGCCAGTCAAATTTTCTATCGCGCAAAACGACGCAAGGCAATCTTGCAATCGAAGATTACGATTACCTATGCTATAATAAACTGTCGTGAGTGATTCAATAGCATAGGATCATTATGCTTTACAATATTTATTATTTACCCTAACCATCCAAAGAGACTAGAAGAAGCATCTCCATTTTTATCTAGAGCTTTTAATTTGGATTTTTTATCCATCTCAATTGGCAAGTCATAAAAATTTTCTTCCCTTATGAACTCCTAAGACCAAAATTGAATATTAATTTCTCAGTATTATCATCCAATAATGTAACAAAGAATATACACCTTATTATACCTTTTTACAATGTAAACATCTTATACGTGACTCTAAAACCCCTTCAAAAACATCACTGATAATGCTACGAGGTGATGAATGAGGTTTTTCCATGGTTGAACATTGTGTTGTTATCGAAGAAGCTGACGATGAATTACCACCTATTATATCACCATCATGAGTCACATTATTAATGCTAGTAGATAAAGATATATTTGAAGATCCAGATCCATTTATTCCTTTTCCATTAGCATTATATGAGACGAATGTTGTTGGTTGATGCGGATATGGAAGCTCCTCATGCAGTCGATTAAGAATACATCCTAGAAATTCTTGAGAATCCTTTTCAAGCATTAGAAAAATTTATTAATCAACGTTGTCAATTTTTATAATTAAATATTGTAGTACAACCCACTCAATACCTGTTGCCCATAACCTTGGAAAATTTCATTGTGTTTTTTAACTTCGTTAACAAGATGGATTGGCGCAAATATTGGGCTGAATAAAATCTATTCTTCAGATTTTAAATTGCCAACGTACTAAGATAATTCATTTGACATGCTAATTACCAACCTATTTCCATTCCACAATGCTTTCATAAAATGATGAAAATGCTCTGCTAATTTGTATGTTGGATTTTTTAACACTAATGCCGAGCGTGGCAAATATGACTCACAATAATTAAAATAATCTGCTAATGCCGGCCTGTCATAAGGAAGTTAAATAGCTTAATGGCAAATGATAATTCTATGAGGTACATAATTCATGACTTTATTACTTACGTGTTACTTAAAGCTTGCAACGCAGCATTCATATCTAAGTTTAGAGTTTGTTTCAGGAGTAAATTAAATTTAAAGATAATTCAAAGTTTTCTAGACAAGAGAATAATGATTACCTACAACACGTGTTTCCTAGATTTTTTAGTCCCACAAGTCCTATTGAGAAAACATTTATATTTAAAATTTTCAAGTAACCTTTTAAACGAAACAAAATCCATAAATAATAACCTGGAATATCCGTAATAATTTTATCTGCTGCCGGTGGTTGCTTGTGTCGTTTTCCTTGCTTTAAAAATTTGCTTTAATAATAAACCAACAGCTGTTAAAAATCAACAGCATAAACATACCAGGCTTCGTATTATTGCTTTTAGGTATGCACGGGCTTCCAAAGAAAATAATTCTGTTTGATCAAATGGGTTCAACTCCTTTCCACAAGTATAGCACCATATCGTCAGTGTACGTGGATTTACATAAATACAATGACATGAATCCGCACGATTTTCCTATAATATCATAAAACCCAGTAAATTTTGTGATTCCTTTAACAGCATGTTCTCTATGAATCCTTCTATATACCTTATGTGCCATATCGAAATGATCTCGCATATGTGTGCGAGTGCTAGTAGAGCAAATTACGGACCTACAACGGCTCTAAGAGCAATCAATAGATTTTTCTATAGTTGCAGTTTATTAACAATAAAGCAAACAAGATTTGGTTTAAAATTTACATGCAAGCACACCCATAGCCTTGGTATTTTTGTATCACAACGATCGCAGCGTAGTGTTCCAGTGGCAACTTGTTTCTATAATGCAAGAAAATCGAAGAGAACTCTTGAAAAAGAGAAAAATTTTATGTAACGTCGCACTCCTCTAAATGCATGCCTTAGGACCAGTCTATTAGTACGCATGCTAAATCCAAGCTGACCAAGAGTATGTATTTAGAGGACTGTGACTGTGCATAGAAAGTTGAACTACCTTGAAATTACTAGAGTCTATTTTCGCGAGTGGCGCGTCTGTCTTTATTATTCTGTTGAGGTGAGGACAAGCAACCTTTCTGGAAATCTCTGAAGAGGTGTATTCAATAGTTTGCTGACCCATAATAAAGTAAAGTAGTGTAGCATATGGTGATCACGGATCACAAGATTAATTAAATAACGACAGTAAATCAACTTGCTTCGGGTCTTTTTATCCTTTTAAATACCAGTTACACTAGAGTTGCACAATAATCGTCGTGCATAAAGTTAAAATCTTTGTTATTTCATCAACGTGACCGAAGACACTCCCACTGTGTCTTTTCACAATTTCAAACTAGAGTCAAGCTTAATAGGGGTGGTAATTTCACCAACGTGACCGAAGCCACACCCGCTGTGTCTTTTCACAATAACGAAGAACATGTACCGCTATTGACAACGTCAATAGCGGTTAAAAAATCTAGACACACGAACGGGGAATAAATAATGGTGTGCATATACGCTTATTTCTGGATAAGAAATTGGTTAGACTTGTTCATACATACATAAAAACATGAGATTATGACTTGATTTAATGCCTACAAATTTTTATCTGCATAAAAAATAGTTTTATTAGCATAGCTCGTTTGAAAATAATAATTTTAAATAAAGGTATTGTAAAAGTTCATAAAAAATGTCAAGGGAGTATCATAAAACATAAAAAGAAAGGAAAATAAATTAGAAACAACATTATATATAGCATATATATGACAAATATATATATATATATATATATATATATATATATAAAATAATACCGAAAAAGAAAGGAACAATAGCGTGGAGAGAAAATCAGAATAAAAAAGGGGAACTATATTAGAGCTAAACTAAAACATAATAATAATGCAAGGACGAAAAGGACGCTTTTTCGTTATCTTGCTGTCATTGTTGTAAGTTTTAACCTGATTAAATACATTGCAAAAAATTATTAAATTCCAATGTCAAATTATAATTTAACAGTTTTAACTAAATTGTATAATTACTCTAGTTTCATCTTTTTATAAGTGCATGAGTTCCTTTGTTAAAAAAAAATTTGATGAAAAATATAATAATTTGATGCTGATGAATATTTAAAATTTCACGATTTCAAAAGGGGACCTAGGCGTCACTTTCGATTAACTATCAAATACTTTAAATTGACTCTAGCTTCAAAAAATTCAGAAATGTGTCTTTTAAATTAGTTATTGTTATGATGTTGTATTCGTTTATATACTTTTATTTTATTTTATTTCTGTTCGATTTTTTTCTGTATTAAATTTGACATTATATTCAATCCAAAATTTTCTCGACAACAATTGCGTTTGTAATTAACTATCGTTATTAACCAATACCAGAATACGAGCACGATAACCGTATGACTAATAACGTACATCCTTTTGTAATTTGAAGGCTTGAATTTTATCCGAACTTTCAATATCATATTCAATTAGATATCTATAATAATTAAGTTCAATAAGACGTGATTTTTTGCCGGTACGGAAATTGAACAGCTTTTTTCTGGTCTCCAGATGTCCAAGATTCCCATTTTTTTCTCTTTTTATCTTGGCTTTTCGATTGGATGGATCTTTTTGACCTCTGTTATAAATATTCATCAAAGAAACCTAGAAACAATTCTTTATCGTCTGTCTTGATAATAAATGCATCACCGAATATAGTTCTTGTCTGTATTAATATAATTTTTTATTTGACCAAATGAACTATGATTATCCGACGATTCTGCTTCTAAATATCTGGCTGGAGTTGATTCTTTTTGTTACTAGTCCGGACTCCCGAACAGACTAAAGTTGAATAATTCGACTTATGTAGAATATCTTTAGGATTATTTTGGCAGGCTCGAAACTTTCGCCAAACCACCCTGATGGGAAGAATGCCCAATAAGGCCATTATAGAAGTCATTGTGAGAAAAACACATTCCGAAACAAATTCATTTCTAAAAATTTTCCAGCCAAATAACCTCATGTTTACCATAAGCGGGATATGCTAGAGATCAGGAAGGAAAAACACGAACCAAGTAGAGACTATGCAATTATAATATTTTAGTGAAAAACAAGAAAATATTGATGCAATTCAAATAAATACTTAGATAAATGATAGCAACAGTTTGTAAAAAAAATTGTAATGAGAAAAATACAAAAAATATGCATAAAATTATCAAAAATAGTTAAAGTGATCTCATTTTCGATTCTTGTCTTCGCCCAGTTACGAAAGAATAAATTCTTAATCAATATTCTTCTAAATAAGAAGTTACTTTCTATATCTCTGGTAACTATCACCATATACAGTGATCGTCATAAGTAACGAGACTCGTTATTATGGCCATAAATTCCGCAGATTTTATTCATTTGACTTATGGTTTTAGGTCAAACATAGGCATTCAAAAATGTATATACATTAATAATTTATTTTTTTCCATTATTTTCGATTACCTCATTTACATGACCTGACATTTCCTTTACCAGGTTAAGACACAAGTTCATGGAAATATCCTCCCATTCCTTCCTAATTAATCCATGCCAACGACTAATACTAATTGATTTTTCTTTTTGAACTATTTCATTAATTTGTTTCTCCACCCTTTTCTTGATAATTGCCCAGAGATTTTCTATCAGATTAAGATCAGGACTATAGGATGGCCATTCAAGAAGCTTTGGAGCCTGATGATGAATGAATGCTTCCATTTTTGTGATCTGATGCTTTGGATCATTGTCTTGATGAAAGACCCAATATTCTTTCATAATTCTATATGCATTTTCAAAAAGATTATTAGTTAAAATTTCACAATAAAATGCTGCATTCATATTTTGGATAAATATATGAAAGCCAATTGTTTCACATGCAGAAAATATACCTCAAACATAAACTTTCTCTGGATGTTTTGGAATCCTCTTCTGTGAAATACTTGTTTCAATTTTGGATATTTGAAATATGAGAATACTATAATTTTCCAGTTTTTTTTGCAATGTTTTTCATCCATTTCACTTGAGCTAGATGATGTTTTTCTGAAAGCAGAGGCACAGTTTTTGGAAGTTTTGAATAATATCCAAGCTTATTAAGCTCATGGTTTACTGTTTGCATGGATATTTCAATCTTGAATTGAAGTTTTATAACAATTTCATCACAGGTAAGATACTTATCATTTGTAATGATTCTTTCTAATGCATGTCAATCTTGAGAAGTTAAAATTATGAAATGTTTCAGATGAGAAATAGGCTTGAGTTTATTATTTTTTTTAGTTGAGTGACATATTTATATGCTGTAGAGAGGGAAATATCACTTCACTTTTTTTTGCTAAATTTAGAACATCATGAATATCACATTTTCAAAGGTAACTTACAGTCACTCATTGATTAATAATTAGAGTTTCTTTTATTTGTAATAAAAAAAAGATATTAATTTTTTTTAGATTTGTTTTTATGATATATTAATAAATAACCTGTTATTAAAATGTGACTGTACATATTATAATTTTTTCTATATATGATTTGTGTAAGATTATTTTGTTAATAATTATAAATAAGATAAAATGTGATATAAACAGTTTTAATTTTATAACTTATAATTATTTTTATTATTTAAAAGTATTCAGATCTGGAGTAAAAGTATAGAATAGAGAAATCATATTTATAAGAAATAAATACAAAATGCAAATAAATTAATATGAATTTCTAATTTAAATTATATATGATTGAACAAAATTAATTAATTTAATTCATATTTCTAAAGAGTAACTAATTATAATCTAATAATTATAAATAATATAAATAATAATATAAATAATAATAATAAAAAATAAATAAAAATATAAAGAAATATTTATAATAAAAGTAATTAAAAATATTAATAATCTAAATTAATAATTATGATATATATGATAATTATCTGAGTAATAATATACTAAATCTAGATTTATTAAATACATAATAATCATCTGTATATTCAGAGTGAAATTAATCTTCTTAAAAAATATAATACAAAGCTAATCTGTTATACAGATAGCACAAAATAAAAATCTAAACTAAAAGAATCTAAAAAGAGATAACTTAATTAAAATTATTATAGTTTATGTCATTTTTAATTCTCATTACTTATGATAATTACTATATTTACATTAATTATCTTTGTATTAGATAGTTTGGATCATATTTAAAAATTATCAATAATGTATTTTCTACAAGTGAAATTATATCTTTACTCATTAATCATTCTTTATATCTTTTCTACTTACTTTAAAATATCTTTACTTATTAATTAGTCTTTATATTTTTTTCACTTACTTTAAAATATAATAGATAGATACTTGGTATTTCAATTTTCTTTTTCTGTTTGATTCTAATAAAATTCACTAAATTCTTATCAAATATATAAGTTTAGTCTTATTTATTAAGATTTTATATTGCAAAATTAGTATTTGATAAGAAATTTGGAATAAAATAGTTCTTGCAATAGCAAAGTATGATAACTAACAATATTACTATTGAAAAAAATTTTTTGGCTGATAATTCAACAAAATTAATCAAAACTTAATTATATTAAAAATCATATCATATTCATAAAACTTGAAAAATAAGCATTCTTTTCTATAATAGTCTGTAAGATTATTTTGTTAATAGTTGTAAACAAGATAAAATATAATATGAATAAGTTTTAATTTTATAACTTATAATTGTTTTTATTATTTAAAAGTATT